CATATTCTTGACAAGTTTGGGTGTTAATATTCTAACAGCTGTTTATTCCTGTGCCAGAACGCAATTGGGTCTAGATGATATGCGAACTAAAACTGTATGTGTAAATATATGTGTAAATATAAGAGAATACTTTAGCTGTGCTGTGGGTAAAATAGACCGTAAGTTAATTAATTTAAAAAATATGCTAATGTACTTACCATATAGGACATTCTAGATTCTTTCTCATCCGAAACAATGCATCCTGAACCAATGTGATCTCATTTCTAACAACTGCAGCCATTTTTGTCGAGTTGAGTCAAATCCCGGGTCTTTCAGTCAATGATCCATTTAAAGTATATTCTAGATCACTTATCATAGTTTCCACTCGTAAACTATGGCTAACACATTCCCACAGGTAATTCAAAACTATAAACGGGATACACTTCGTGAACAGCTGACGCTTGACAATGACATCATCAGCGTAGGCAAGCGAACGACAACTTGGGCGTCAAGAGAAGACAGACAGAAATACAATTTTCAAGGACTATTTAGCGATAGACTATCCACCAGGAGATATAAACTAACTAGTTAATCTCAACTTATCTGATATACCTGTTGAATTCAACACATTAGAGCAGTGCAGAGGAAATGTACAATCTCTGTGACAGACTCCATTTTATTTTTCCCGCAAAATGAAAAAGGTCACATGACAATTAGCCTGGGGTAAACAAAACAATTCCCTTTGTTTTTATTGTCAACATATTCACCAAATCATTTTTTTATTTGTTGAGATTCACATACAGTATTTCATATTACCACTTTCTTGTCGTTATTAAAAAAGTCTTACACTACACGCGAGACTTGTGCGACGCAAGGTATTTTGGGATGGATGAATGTCAGTGACTGACCTCAATTGAACTGAATATTTACTCCATTTAATCGACTATATTTTGTTGTTTTGCCGTGTCTTCTGTGGGTATTTTCATTGTTAGAGTGCTGTGATCAGACAAGTAAGTGTGGTAGTTTGTTTTTATAAGTTTACTTTAGCATTTAGTAATAATTAACAGTTTCCGTTTGTCAGTAAGACAGCTGGGCTGAGGTGAACCATCTTCCCCAGTCAATGTCTGTTTATTCGGCCATTGTGACGCTGGATCTCGTGTCGTTTGGGTGTGCTTTTCCCATGTTTGATATACATTGACAGTGGTCGAAACCAGTAAATTATAATCGTAAAAAATAAAAATAAAAGCAAGCAAAAAATTATCTCTGCATACGTACTATACCATACCACGGATTAGATTATGCAAATATGTACGATTAAGATTTCACGCGAATTGCGAGATAATCACAAAATAGCTAGAGAAATCAACATTTCTGATTATCCTATTAAACTAGCGAGTTTATCTATTAAATGGGTGCTAACAGTCTGATGCACATTTGGGGTCAAGTTCCATGGTAAAAGACAAAAAACAATTACAGTCTGTCAGGGATTTTTGTGATGTTATTTAGTTCTGTTTAGTTGTTGCAGTGATAGACATGATGTACTGTGCACAATATCGATAAAGTCAAGCCAGAGAAAAAAGGAGAATAATATAAACCAGTAAAGTTCACACTTCAACACATTTTGAGTGATGTATTTTTGCACAGGGCAAAGGTCATTTGTCTTTGTTTTTGTTTACAATCTACACAAAAAATCATGTGAAAACATAAGCAGGACTTTGTATCCCTGACTTTGTCCTTTACAATAACAACAACATGCATTCTATTGATAACAAAATTCTCCTCGATGTTTTGGATGTCATCTGACATGACATCCAAATAACATAACTATGTGGCCATCCCTTTCACTCTCATTCTAAGAACTTGTGTATCATCATAATTCATTAAAAGTAATAAAAATAATAACAATGTTACTCAATGATTACGGTAGCAATAGTTCATGACTTGCTGTGACGATGTTACCCATAAATAGTTGTATTAACTGAAATACATACATGTATCAGCAAACAATGTCGTTATTTTATCTTCGGGTGCAAACGACCGGTTCTTGCCAACTTGTCACTGTACATGCACTCTTGTGCAAAACAAAAACAATTGTGACCTGTTGTGCGATTTTGACTTCATACTACTAGACTTAAGCTAGTTGTAAAGCTAGACTTGTTATATTTGTCAGTTTGATAGTATTTTCACTTCACAGATTAGAAAAAGAAGAAGATCATTAAGACCATGGCTAAGGTAACCAACACATGTAAATGCAAGGCTTTATGCAATTAGTATAAGTAGAATTAATTAACTCCCGAAGACCATAAAATAAAGGCAGTGTTTGGATGTCCTACCTGGATGCCTTGATGTCCTTAGTTAAATAGTTCCTGTCAAGTCTAAGGGATTTATAGATAATTTGGCTTTGAAATTGAGTGCTTTCATGATTTCCAGAAAAATTCCTGGAAATATAGTGCTGCTTCCTGTATTTTGGGGTTTGAACTCTACAGAGACTTTTGGGGCCCTTCAAAAAATACAGATATCTTCTATATTATGGAGAGACTGCGACTAGAGCAATTTTATAAAACGTTGGCTTTGAGCGCTCATGAAGTTCAAAACCTGTGTTTTTCCTTGACCAGCAATTGTACTTATAAACTAGAGACAACTATATGAATACACACATATCAAAGATTTTCCATACTATTATTAATATTGTATGTTCTCAATTAGTAGCACATGTACTTACATAAATAAAATTGTGTCAATGATAAAAATAAGTCATTTTTTATGATCCAGTATATGGGAAATAAATTTTTTGGGTTGAATGGATTTTTATATGTGATAAATATGGTCTTACCATTCTTTTTAGTGATTATATTTTTAAAAACCATGTACTATTGAAATAATGTTGTAGTGCCTTGATAGTGGAACCAAAACAAGGAAAATAGGATATACCGGTACTTGCATTTGAGTATATGACAAGTGTGTCATATTAAGTCATATTTTAATAATCTTGCATACAATAAATGAAATTTTTGGTTTACTAGTACAGTACATGTATGTGAAGTTCTATTGTAGGTAGGTGTTTAATGTTGATTCCATACCCATATGCTCACATCCACAGGTACTTGTTGGGAGTTCTAGAGTGGTGTGTTATATACCCAGTATGAGGGCTGTATCTTCACGTATGCGTCTATTCGCAAGTTACAGACAATCACAACATACTGCTGCTTTGGAACAACACCGAGGTGAAATGTTTTTTTGTTTTTTTTTTTGTTTCATGTCTGCACATTTGATAACATGGCAGTCTCAGTGTTTCAGAACCCTTTATTTATCAATCGTATATTTTATTTGGGGAAACATGTAGAGGTTTATAAACAGAATTCTCGGATATCTGTAGTGGATATTAGAACTATTAGGGGAAAGTTTGCATATTTGGTGGGACATAATAACGAGCATCAGCAAAAAAATGTTTTTAGTTGTGATTCTTTGCATTAATCTCAATTTACGAAACAGATAACAGGCCCGGTGAGTAGCACCAACAGACACGTTAATGTAGTCGCAGATTTTAACACTATGCTGCAATAAACGTACATGAAGAGTTTTCTTGCAATATATTAACATTTTATGCAATAATAATTCATATTAGTGCTTGTACCATGTTTTCCTGTTTTGCTGCAAAGCGCTTGACTACGATTCAGTTAGATATTTGAGCCAGTTTATTCAGTTTTGGGGCAGGTTCACAGATCTCTAGTGCCAGATATAAAACCAGCTAATCAGATGGCTAGATTCAAACACCTTTTAGTGTCATAATCTTTTTAAAATATTTTGTTTAACATTTTAGAAATTTGTATGAATTTTTCTATAATTCCTTTATTAATGTTGAACCAAATATCATATTTGCTTTATATTAAAAACAAAGTAGAAGTACACATAAATTAACACTTTTATTTATCGTTTACTGGACTGTGTACATAGGTGCATGTGCTACTAATAGAGCAAATACAGTAGGCATATTTTCCTATTATTGACTACAGGTCTAAACATTTTTGCAAATAATATGTTAGCATAGTTTTTTAGAAACATGAAATGAGTTGACTTTGGCATTCAAAGGATTAGAACCGTTACAATAAACAAACTGCTATAAGTAGTAAGGTGGATGCTGGACTATGAAGCTCTATTTTCCATTTCAGATCCTAGGGACCGAGAGTGGCCAGATATCAAGCTAGGTCTTCTGTCTCCACCTGACAGAAGATTCCCCATGCCAGGTAATATTGGGTTATCTGCCTCCGCACCATCCCCGTTGGCAGCAGCTATACCAGTACATTCATTAGATATTACTACGCTACCAACAAGACACGAGAAACAGGTTATGATCATGGAACAGTTTTTCGAATCAGAGGAGGTGAGGATATTGTTGTGTTTGACTAAAAGCCAGTTTACATGGTTAGATTTATCTGTTTAACGATCAGACTCGATTGTGAAAATCTGCCTTTAGTGAAAAATGCAAAATGTGATGTCTGATCAGATTTTTAAAAATCAGACGTACTTGAACTTGGGTAAATTTGATCAGATAAATCTGATTACCGGTATACCATTCTTGGTCATATGACCCATTGTCCTGGCTAGATGTTTTCTGTAACTCCACACTTGTTATATTGTCTCTGAGCTTTTTACGCTGATTATCAATCAGGATAAATTTCTTCAGGTTTGGTCTTATTAGAACAATGGAAAAAATTACAATGTTTTTTCTTTTGAACCTTCAATTTACCAGAGCAAATCTGTGAACCATTGACCTTGCAAATTTGATTCAAATAAACTCTCGCCATTTATTATCATTTTCAGCTGCAAACATTGTTGCAAATGTTGCTACATTAGTGATTTTAGAACAATTACTCAAAACATGTTCCATGCGAATAACATGAAATGATTAGCTAATCTTGAATTAGTGAAATTACAGACAGCTAAGGGACGATGTCAAAAGATCGATGTCGGTTAAAAAACTTAATTCCTTTAGTTTTTTTCAAAAACCCCCCACTTAAACTTAATTGATAAATATTGGTCATGGCGTCAGACTATATTCACCATTAAATACAAATTGATAATCGGACAGTAGTATGGCATAGCAGTTGGTTGTCGGGTGGGTGTAAAAAAACTTTACAAATGCACCTCATTTGACACACATATTTACACTCGGACCAAACCATTTTCTCGTCTTGGATGTGTGTTTTTTCATTTTCTGTAATTTCTGTCCATGATTGGATAGAAAAAAAAAACGAACTACAAATACTCCAAGATTTTTTTGACTTCATTAAAAAATAAAATCGTTTTTGTAGGATGGAAACTTTTTGGGTCACGAACCCCCCACCCCTCACCCTAAATCAAATAAGTTTTTTATCCGACATCGATCTTTTGACGTCATCCCTAAGTTAGCATGTTTTAGAGTATTCATCATCTTAGGTCATTGTTATCCTTCAACACAACTTGTAGATGGATACTTGAATAGTTTACGCTAAATTCATTCTGATTTTTGTTTTGTTTTACAAAGAATAATGTTACCCCCAGTTGTTGTACTTGTTTTTACATGTTGAACTGTGTTTCAATAAAACAATAAAATCAACTTCAGGCAATTGACGCTGAATATGCTAAAAGCCTGGTTCATTAGCTCTGTGCTCATGTGCATTAGACTAACAAAGCTAACATCGTGCTAATGTGCGTTAACGCCAGGTGTTTTGGCAAACAAGTTTTAAGCTGTAATGTAATCATAGTTGAGTACAGATAAGTTGTGACCAATCAGGTTATTGACAACCTGCTCACTGCAAACCACATGGTGTGTTGCATATGTTTTAGGCCTCTACAATAAACTCATCATTCTAATCTCTCCATGATACCATTGCAGAATATTGAATTTATTACCATCTGATTGCATATTCATGAGGTCAAAGGTCAACCTTGATTATTCAGCTCGTTATGCACCATATTGGATTATAGATATGCTGGTACCATACTGTCCATGCTGACTCAGTTACAACATTGTGAGCCACAGACTACCTCAGTTTTTTACTGTGAAAGGTAAAATGGCTTTTTATTGTGCATTTCAGGGGAAAGCAATTATAGAAAAGAGTGAACAGTCATCCTCCAAAAAGATACCCAATGTACTAGAGTGTGTTGCCCAGGATTGTCCCAGTAAACTCAGAAAAGGTAATGTGTTATATCTGAAATGTATGTATATATGAACAGTTGTTTATAAAATGTGCATTCGCATTACAGTGACAATAATGCACCTGTCTGTGTCCCATAGAGAGAAACAACAAGGGAAACTGTATCTCATCACTGGGAATTTGATCACAGTGATTTGCCTATTAAAGAGGGGGTGGTTTTGACTCATAAAATGAATGTATAAAACAGCAATTAAGTTTGGAGGTCCATTTTGTGGAATAAATTAGCTTGTGTCTGTGTTGACTTAGACATCACTGTTACTATCACTACTGCACCATCAGGGTAAGTAAGACAGCTGTTGTATGCTGCAAGCAACAATTGTTTAAATGTTATTGTAGATGTTACCATATTTTAGACATTTCGTGTAACTACAGTAAAATGAAAAAACAAGCTATCTATATGTATTTCATTCTGTTTAGTATTTATACATTTACAAACAGTGTGCTTACATCTCAGTTGAAAATATTGGCTTAATCTATAAATCTATTTTACCAGTAGAACGGCAACCAGTGCCTTGCTACTATTGTTTTTATTTCACCTTCTACAGGTTTTATGGAACTATTTCCTGAGGGGGATTTGATTGATGATAATTTGACAGTGATCACATTATGTCAGAAAACCAAAAACGATATGAGTGGATGGAGTCCTTCAGTGGAGGAAGAAAGAGATGAACTGACATCATATGTAAGTTTATTCACTGTTTCTAGCTTTCGTGCGTCTGGTACCGTGCAGGCTAATGCACTGTGAGGTTATTTGTTTACATCTTTATTAAAGGGCGGTAGTCATCGTGTCGCGTCCTGTTCAATATGGGACTCATAGTGACGTATACAATGCGTGTAAAATACATTGTTTATTTACATAAAATTCGAACACGCGCTGCGCGACGACCACTGTGCTTTAACCAGCATTTCCTGAAAAATATCCTTATCAGATCAGTACTAGCTCATGATATACCGTGACAACGCCGCCTATGATTTGTTTTATTATTCGAGATACATACATTTAACAGCAGCCGCAAACAGTGCCATTTTATCTTCAGATGCAAACAACTACAACTTCTTGGCAACAAATCAGTGCGTGTTCGTATGTGTGCAAAAACAGAACAGCACCTCTGATTTATATAGTGCGGATTTCACTGTATATTGCAGCCATAAATAGGTTGCAGTTATTTTAAAGTGAGAGTGCAAAAGAAGCAATTATTCCCTTGTTATTACAGGATTACATTTGCCATTCATTAATGCAATTTGAATTTACTATGTGCGAAAAATCTTAAGACTATTAAATGACATCTTTCACTACTTATATAATGTAGCCCCGCAAAATGCTAAACTTGAAGGTTATATTGTGTTGACTCTTGTATTTTCTTTTTACCGATTGTTGCAGTTTATAACTGGTGCTCAAGAAATCTGTGATTTACTTAAAGCAGAAGGATACTGGGCTGACTTTGTGGATCCATCTTCGGGGCTTGCTGTAAGTCTTTACGAACTCTTTTATCAAAAATTCAAAGCTGTTAAAACTATATACTGCCCATATAAGATTTGTTTGGCCTGTTTTCAGTGTTATTATCGGTAGTTACTGTTTGGATGAAGTCCAAGTCCTGGATGTTATAATTTGTTCATCTGTTCATACTGTCAGTCATAACTTCCATCCGAACTGCATACTGTGATATTGATAATTGTTAGAATTCTATAATGAATTTGCATATTTTTGTGTATTTTTCTATAATTTTTTTCTTAATTTTTGACCTGATTTATATAATTTCTTGATCAAGATGACAAATTAAAGAAAAAACATGATGCTGGATTAATTTAATAAATGGTGACACAAAAATTGACTTTGTTTATTTAAAGAGTTAACGCACATCTTCTTCTTTTACAGTACAACGCGTCACACACCAATGCCACCCTATTTGAAACAGATGAAAGATACAAGCATTTTGGTTTTGAAATAATTGACCTTGGTTGTTGTAAAGTTTTGAGTCATCCCTTGTGGGGTACGCATGCATTTTTAGGAAGTCTATTTACCAGCGCACCAACAGACAGCCCAATAATGAAGAAGATTATGCAGAGTCTGAGAAAAGATTAGTACAATCTCCAATTTAGTACTTCCTGCACCACCGCAAGGTGTATTTCCTTGCACTGTGTATGCTAAAAACTTGTCTAAACTGAAGATGCTACAGTGTACTAAGTTATATGACTTGAGCATCTCTGTAAACTATATTTTTCAATATCGCCAGGGTCTCCAGTTTAAATAGGTTTCTCCTTAGTTTTGTCATCATTACACAATAGTAACCACAATGCATTGCTGTTCATGTGCAGGTACAGTGTATTATTTATTCACCCCTAATTTGAATACGCATGGAAGAACCACCCTTTGAGCATGCTGGTTTGTGCACTCTAATATATGTACAGAAATTGTGTTTATTGAGTCAAATATTATGGTATGTTCCATTATAATTGTAATTTAAATGAGATTATTGATGTCTGTTCTGATGAAGATTTGCAGTTTTCAGTTATGCACAGAATTTTTTGATCATGAAGCATTTTTTTTTTTTAAAAAGACTCAGTAATACAGTATGGCCTCATTATAACACATGTATGAAATACAGTGGTTATTTTGTACTGCCTTATTGTTAGTACCGTACCGGTATACAATATAATAAAATAAATTTTATGTGTTTAGACACATATTCACTGGCCATGAGTGCAACACCGTATTCTCAGTCATGCAAACAACTGAATATAATTTTTTGGGGAAAGTCTGTATACTGATACCTGTCAATAGGTGCTTTATATTGCCTGAAATATGATATTGAATTAGTTTTCATACACAGTAGTCATTTAAATTTCAACAATTACCTGTACACATATGCTAAAATATGATTAATAAATAGTGACATTTCTAGATTTTCCAGAAAAAAAGTGATATTTTATGCTCTTTACACTGTTAAGACTTGCATGTAATGTAATGCATTGATACTAAATTACTCTATAATGCATAGTACATATGTGGGAAAAGCTAACACTGTATAGAATATTTAGTATTTATCACTTTTACTGCTTAATATCTTCATCAAAACTTGATTTCAGGAAATGTGTTCTTAGAAAATTGGATTTTCACAGAAAAAACAGTCAATTTAGATCATTTTGATGTTTGCAGCAACTACACTAGACAATTTTGATAATCATTCAATTTGCATGTGTTTCTGAGTGTGGAATTTAAATTATTTTGTCAATACTGATGAGAGAATTTTAAATCCAACCCACCACTGTTATTTCCTAGCTTGAAATAACACTTGGAAATATCTCTCACAGTGTTCACCGCAAATAATGTCAATGACAGTCACTGCTCCAAAAGCCAGTGTTTACTGTATTATTTACACTAGGATTATCAATGTCTGTCAAACTTTAATCCTATGGCAGAATAAAACTTTTTAGTATAGTATTATGTTGGTACTATTTATTATTGATGATAGCAGCTGCTTTCTATAAGTTGGATTTACTAAATGCACAGTAATTATTTGCAATTATTTTTCAGCCGCAACCATTAAATGTAATTTTTTTTTATGTGCATAAATAAAGGTTTATTAATTTCCATTTTGTGACTGATGCTGTTATTCTGGGGTTAGTTACATTTCCGTTTTCTTATGTATTGAAAGCTTTTGATATTTTACAACTGTCTAAAATATGTTGGCACAGTTTTTGGCTGTAAACTTCTGTAGAATAACTGTTAGTTTAAGTGTTATCTATACATTATGTAAATGAATGATTTACCTAAATGGTAGCATATCTTGTGGTTCATCTCACAAATGTAAATTCAGTAAATGGAATTATTATATTCATGAGTGGGCCACTGAGTATTTATCTTAATTTACAAACACAAAATCAGTTGCTATACACAGGTGTGCTAGTGGACACTAGGAAATTGAACCTGTGTCGCAGTTTATTCTGTGGTTGAAAGGTTTAAGTACATCCAAAACATTAACAGAATACTACAGAACTATATAGGTCAGGGTTATGCAAATATAACACTTTTTTGCTGCAAGTGGTATTTGTTGGTGCTATGTTTTGTTTTCTGTTGTTTCTCATGAAAAAAAAATTCTTACATTTGCTGTTAAAATTACTTTGTACCTAATGAGAATCTAACAAAAGCCATTAACCATATCTTAAATGCAAACATAATAATCCTTTGAGGTTTCTCCTGAATCGTAATATTCCAATGACTTGTTTGTACTTCTCCAAGAATGTACATCACATGTTAAATCGGGGGAGGGGGGGGGGGAGAAGTAGTCACCTGCGTTAACATCGTGTGGAACTCAATTCCCGTGCGTGCGCAGGTGACGACCCTCCCGCTTTAATCTATTGTCTCGTTATAGTCAGGGTAGAAGTCGAGCTCATGATTGGTTGGTTGATTTATTCTTGGGCACAATGACAACCTGATAGCCATTGAGTAATTTATGTGCATTGCACATGCCACTCGAACCTTGTCCGTGTGTATCGCAAATGAATCAATAAAATGTAAAAATGAATTGTTTGTTTACACGAAATCCAAACACGACACCATAAGGTCGTCAGTCGCATGTACAGATGATGACCGGACCCCTCCCAACTCAGTTTTAATAACAATCATTTACCATACAGCTTTTTGGCTTCACCAAATACAAAATTAGATCTACTTTATTTTTATAATCACAGTCAACTCATAGATGCACGTGTATACTGGTTATTAAAAGTTTGTTTTACTGTCTTTGAACAGACTTCAGATAGCGCTCCAGACCAATGGGAACTTGTCACATAGCACTCTATCGCCAGGCTTTAACCCTCCAGTGATTGGCGGAGATGGTTTCCATGGTCTTGTTGCCATGACAGCATCTTCCCCCAGCCACCTCGTTGCTAGAACTCTTCTAGGCGTGTTCAGGGAAGTATTCGCCGGGGCACCATGTACTGCTAGCATATGAAAGACAACACAGTCACCGGGCTGAAAAATATCAAAAGTTCCTCAAATATATTTCGTATTCAGTCAAGAAATAGAATCACCTGACACCTCCAAAATGTCAAAAGCGGTGTAAATATTTTTCATTTTATACATGATGTCACAATTACTAATTACATGCTGGTAAAATACACGGCAACGACAAATATAATATATTGTGAAATAGTATTCATTAATTTGCAATAAACCGATAAAGTGCGTGTATATGCCCTCTAGCGACGAAGCTCTTCTGTGACGCAAGTATGTGTGTAGGTGACAGTAATGTAGCTCAAACCACGACTGTGTTAGGTTGTGTTGTCGTTCGCCGATTAAAATATAACAAATCTCGAAATTTCTTTTATTGAGGGACGACCACAGAACTAATCAAAAACATCGATGATGTGAACGGCGTCCCTAACATCATTACGTCACAAAAAATGTCGTCACTAGAGGGCGCAAGTTGAAAGGTGTCAGGAGTCTGCTACACCAAATTATGCTCGATATTTAACCCCCTTTGAAAACGCTGGGTTGCAAATTATTGATATCCTTACCTTCATTTCCCATTTTAATATTTCATATTTGTCTATTTCATTGTCAATATCTGGCATTTGTTCATATTTCCGTCCTTCCAAATAGTCACTTATTTTATCGTAATTCAGTAAAGTTGCAAATTTTCTTGGATGGAACCATTTCCCCCATCGATGAGATCCGCTCACGTACTGAATACTAGTGTCCATGGAAACGGGGTCAACTGGCATCCAAATGGAACACGCCTACTAATGCAATGGTAAATATTGACAGTCCAATCATTGCTTTTACAACCCCGTGACAATGTCCATTTTGTAGGACGATTTTGAGACGCACCATTCGAATAATACGTTGGATGCGTTCGTTATTGAATCATCGTGTATAACCCACGAATGCGACAATATTCCAACAATTTCCGGTGACGTATGAATCTATTATATGGGAATCAATAACAATCTTACCTTCCATCCATCGATTGGGTAATACGACTGGTCGTGGTGCCAGGGAGTAATTTTAAACGTGCCTGGTTCCTTTGTCAACACATGATCATGATAAAATACAACTTCCTAGAATAAATGTTTAATACTCCAAATACATTGTGTAGGTATGCGTATCATTGTTAAATTATCACAGAAATGTATACTAATGTTTATATGCAATACAGAGAATGGTATGTGATAGGCAAATCCACCACAAATGCTCTCTAGTGTAAACCCCGGCCCATAAATCCTGATAGACCTCGTTAAATTCATGATTAAAATAATGCACATAAAAACAATGCATACCAGTACCTTAGCATTCATCAACTTCCCGACAATTCCAGCAGCCGGCGATTCAAACACAAACTGTTTAAATTCATCGAATCTCTCCCAGTTACAGTAATCGTTAAAGTAACTTCCCGGACCCTTATCCCCTTTCAGATTTTCCGAATATTCCGGACTTGGATCAGCAAGGTTTTTTTCGATTCCACGTTTAACCAGTTCAATCCATTGATCATCAAACACTCCACGTAGACATATGGCACCATTTTGTTGAAATTCTCGTATATTGTCTTCAGTAATCTCGCTGGTCATTTTGACTTAAATTACTATAAAGTGCACTGTATGATATTGTATTGAAAAACAAAATCGATATTAACGTAAGCGAACAGTGCACTTTGAAAAATGCAATGGACATCGATGAGTATGGCGTGACCAGTGGTTGGCCACGGCCTATAAGATATATACAATCAGACCACAATGATAGCAACGCTCATAGCGTAAAGGTTGGTAGTGAGGGACTATTCATTTAAACATCCCAGGAGGGCCCAGATGATGTCTGGGCACCGATTTTTATCCACTAGTGGTAGTACCGCGTCCTGTTCGATATGTGACTCATAGCGACGTATACAACGTGACGACCACCGCACTTTAAGGTAGAGATGCAGTTTACCTGACAGGTATTTTAATTAGTTAATTAGGAAACCAAGATGACCTCCTTTGTCCACAAAACTATATATTTTCGGAAAGTTTATTGTGTGAAGCTGAGATAATTGCTAATTTGCATAACAATTCACACAGTAAGGAGTTGCTCATAATTGCTCATAATTAAAATGGCTTTACCAGTTCAAAATTTAAATGTATTATCGTTTTGTTAAAAGTTAAATATAGTGCATAATATGGAAATCCCGTCATTTCTTTTTTTTCACCGTGTTTCTTTTTTATTATTTATGTACAGCCTTGCAAAATCTTGTTGAGCATTCAAAAGAGATAATGTTTGCACCTGTTATCTATATTTTAAAATCATTTTTTGAGTATGTTACACTATTCACAATCCTACAAACGATTAACAGTCAAGACTGTTTGGATAATAAAAAGCAAAAGTGCCCACGAACCTGCATCTCTACCTTAAGCAGTATCAAATCACTCAACAGTTTATAACGGTTTACATCTATGTGCATTGCATTTTCATTGATATTAGGCATAATCGTTTCCTTGTTGAGAGATTACATACAATAAATATAGTCTGAAACAATGAAATCTAAGTGTCTTACTGCACATGTTTGAAATGAACCAAACCCGGAACTAAATGACACATCATGTATTCTTCTAACATTACAATATAGACTGTTGGTTGATGAATTAACATCGTTACCACATTTTTTTCTTGCAAATATCAAGTACAAATAAACAAATTATATAATTAGTTTTTCGAACAAAATATATAAATGTTATACAAAAAATGAACTTACACCTACCTAGTGAAATAAAACATAATTTACGTAGCATTACCTTTCAATGTCGGGAACGAGGGTGATAAGCAAATAAAGACAGAGAGGCAACTTCAGTTACAGTCCCTCAATTTTTAAAACAGGCAAGTTTGGGGGTGCCCGTCCAACTAATACGACACCCTGGAAGACAACCCCCCGAGTCACGTGGATGTATCAAATGGACAGGCCCTTATTATTTACGTGCAATAGAAACAAATACGATGAGATTATACTCACCTGACAAAACTGGTGAACGAACTTTGCCCTTTGACATTTATTTGCCCTTTGACTCCTATTACCTGTGCAACATTACCATACGAGTGATGTCTAAACGTGTCTCAACGATGTCTCGTGTACTATTCTATAAAGCCCGGACTAAAAAACTAGTCGCACCGAACTCACGACAAGACACGCATTCCACATACCGGTTAAAACGTTAAACTAAGACAAATACATTAATAAATCGACAGGAATTAATAGGTCACATATCTAAGAGTGATATCACACAGATTTAATGCGCAAACAGCTTTTCCGATTGATCCATGGTCGTCGCGCCGCGTCCTGTTCGATATAGGACTCATAGCGACGTATACAACGCGTGTAAAATACATTGTTTATTTACATGAAATTATAGATTAGATTATATATTTATCAATTCCAAAAAATGTTTGTCTCAAGTATATTTTAAAATGTACGTATTTTTGTATTTATGTATGAGGGCGCTACCTAGTGGTCACTCACCGGGCCCATCATCGTGGAGAGTCATCATTGCTTTTAATCCAGTTCATTCGTCGCCCTTGAAAGTTAACGAACATCGTCCCGCATTTTTGCGATCACATGGTTGGATGTGTTTACATTTTGAAAAAAAAAATGGTCGCAAGTTGGCAAAATTTGTTTGAATCACAAAAAAGGCATGCATTTGTAACCCAATATGTACGAACATCACACGAACTTTTATCAAAATCATCCTGGTCATGTCCGAGAAACAGCTGCTGACACGTTTGAGAATCAAAAAAAGCTAATTTTATATCCATAATGGCCACCAGTCGGACATTTTTGTTCCAATCTTCAGATTTAAAAACACACCTGCAAAAAACCATAATGTATTGTTCGTGCGTACACTATAGTTTTAACGACGTCGATCAACAACTGTCTGAAATATGACTCTGGGCAAACGGACGAACGTACGGACCCCCAACTTATTAATCCCCGTTTTCGGACGGGGGCTAACAAATACCACCCAAAATGACGTCATTCACGTTGACCATTTCTATAAGACTTTCTTTTCATAAAGAGGGCACAAATCCAGCCACGTGTTATTTTGCGATCGAAATCGAGGCTAGTGAGTATAGCAACCAGGGCATTCATTCATTGTACTTTTGCCAAGAAATATTTTCTGATGATGTTATTTTATATTTGATAGAGAGACACACGAGCGTAGTTTACGGTAGCAAAAACACAGTATTGGTTTATTGCAATACGGAGTAAACTGACATAGAGTACTGAGGCAACTGGTAAAACATGAAATGTAACAGAAATCATTAGGTATTTATACCCTTCTATGCGAACGTGAAAGGAAACACATTTAGGCGTAAACTATGTAACTAAGTTTCAAATATAAGCGGCAAAACGAGGCCGAACTGTGATTGGTCAATTAAACACTTATGATAGGCTGCTCACTTCACCGCCAGAATCCGTTTGTCGGTATAAGGGGGGAGGGGTGACTGGGGATAATTTATCATGGATTTGACTCCGCTAAATTTATATTATATAACTTTGTACTGATTGATTTGTTGCACACAACCCCGTTTAATATTGTTAAGTGTAATGTTTTAGTCATATGTATAGGAGTATAATGACGTACTTATAACAAACATATACAAACACGCATCATATGAAAGTCGATTTTACGAATACATAGCACAAACCTTAATTTTTCCAACTTATAATAAAAAAAAAACCTGAAAAGGCTACAAAACAATCTGTTGATAGATATAAATTCACAAGTTGTATGCATTAATTATACAGTTCTGGAAATTATAACCCACGTTGCGTACACTATGTTACATTTACGTCTGTCTATATAGCAGTTACTTGTCCATGGTTATATTTAGTTTCTTGATTGAAGTAATATTGTATAAACTGCTTAACTACTATATAAAGTTAAGAGTTTTTTTTAATATAACACAACTACTCCAGGGGCGGATACAGGATTTTTTAGGGGGGTCCCAAACTTTAAAATCGCCAGACTAGGATTTTTTTATATTATACAAAAACAAATTGAATACATTTTTCAACGGGGGGTTTGGACCCCAAGAACCCCCTAGATCCGCCACTGTACTCGCTGACAGGATTCCGTTCCTTGGTGTGTACAACTACCTTCGATTGTTTTATTGTAATTCATGGAGATGTTGTAGAGTCCAGCTGATCTTTGATTTGAACGTCGTCGTTATTACATAACGTGGATATAATATCAAGTCCCAATTACACGCATGATTGGATTCTGAATAATGCTTGTCAACCATTACGCAATAGAAGACGATGTTCTATGGACGCATGTCGGGTCGCTAGTATACAAAGAATCTTCATATCCAGGATTATCAAGAGAAAATTCCTTACCACCCTTGAAAAAAAAAAAAACATTTATGCTGTGAACATTTCTATTGTCTTCATGAACCAAGGCAGATTGATACTTTCTGTGATATTTAGAAAGGTAGTATATTCTTACGGTTTATTTTAGCTTAATGATACATATACAATTGAACACAGTTGACTACTTGTTGATTCTATGAGATACAAACATGGTACTATGTCTATAATATCTAGGATACGAGAAAACCCTGCGGAAAGCGTTGTTATAATACACTCCATGAAAATTCAAATTTGCTTTCCATTGGGAGCACCACATTCGACCATATAGCAAAACGTTTTAAATAACACACACTTTACATCCTGACTGAGAATGTACGTACAAGCATATTAGCTCAAATACAAGATGAACGTTTTTGAACGTTATTTTTTGAGTTATTCTATTGCCAAGGTAAGTAAACTGGTCAATGAATTGGCAGAACATCACGGAGTTTTAAACAGCTAGAAAAATGCATACAAATATATAATAAAAGGTTTCATGCTTGCGTTATTAATTATAGTGATATGTGAAATGTTACATTACTTACAGAAATTGGCGATTCGTTATATATATTGTCAATATCACTCATACGGACCTGGATAAAATACAAATGTTACTTTATAAAATTGAATGCATTTCATGAAATGTGACCGATAAGTTTTGTTGATTTGGTGAAATCAGTTTGTTCAAAGATGAGCGTATTACCTTTGGTGTGTTGGCTGAGCTCTGACGAAAGTTAATGTTTAACCTGAAGCTTCCCCTGTTTGAAAAGAAAATTGCAAATGATAACAAACAAGACCGATCTTATATCACGAGAACGGGTTGTCATAGCACAAGCCAAATACCACGAGATCTCGCAGATTACTAAATATAGTCTATTCACTTACTTCTTTCTATAGCATGTGATGCCCACTATAATAAGGACGATTACAAAAACAGCACACACCACAGCACCGACAACGCCACCAGCAATGGCACCAGCATCTAACAAAATAGAAGACCCTTATGTTATATTAAATAGTTATTGTGTAGTTGTGTCGAATAAGTTACTATTTAAACTGGTTGTTAATATGCAAATCACTATTTCCACATGAGATGATGTAAGTCCACAAAGGAGTGTATACTTACTTGATTTGTTCTCTTCAGGGGTTGGTAGTGGAACAGCGGCTTCTAATTTAAAAATAGAAACAACAAGCAAATTATAATTCATTTCAAATTTATTACCAACACAATTGGTCTGAAATAGATGTGCTTCTTTTTGTCGGTGAAATAAATCAACGATCCCATACGTGTTATCATCAAAAGTAGAGAAACGAAAAAAAAATATTCAAATATCTCTGTTCATTAATCATAGATAATCGGTTGTAATGGAACTTACCGCAGTTAAATCTGAACTGTTCTTCATCATAGCAATCAGTTGGGCAATCGATATTCCCATCATTCAACCAAGTCTCATCGATACATATCTTATCTCCGGGACAAAATATTTGTTTACGTGTACACAATCCTGCTGGAACTGAGCTGTCACCTAATGGTAAATGTGTTTTCATATAAGCATAACATTTCTTGATATGACATTCGTTCATTAGTCAAAGGAAGCTAGTCTGCGACATCACAATATTCAACTGTACTATGACAGTGGCATGCTCGATCAAAACATTGTAGATGTACGACTATGAAGTTTGTGTAATTCCAATGAAACGTTCCTTTTCCGGAACAAGAATTTGATATATACTAATATAATACAAATAATTGTATTTGTCACTGGTAATTGAGTAACATCTAACCCCTCTCGAGTTTTCTCTTCAGTCACTATTGCAGTCAACTATACAGCACCTTACCATAGTATTTTGTATTCACGGCGGTGCAGAATAGTAGAGACGCAAACGTCTACACGAATAGCCTAACGCAAGTGTGGTTCAGGAATCATTTATTTTAATTTCAATAAAACCATTAAAGAATCATTGTGAAAGTGATAAATTCTAGACTTTTGTTTTCCTTAAACTATTCTTTGCCAATGGGTCCCCCACTTCCTACTCGAGAGGGCGCCATTCCTTGCGTTTCATACACTAGTATAATTACATTAACGTTGCCTGTGTGAATGTTAGTGTGACGCAAATATGTAAGGCTTACCTGGAGTGCGGCATAATTGAGTAAATGTAATATCATCGATTGCAATATCTGACAGTCCCTTTCCGCCTGTGATTGCTTCAAATACAACACGGAAGCTATGTGGATTTCCCAGGACTACTTTTGCATAATTCCAATGTTTTCCCATATTCTGCCAGTTTTCCCACATAAGTAGTACCTGATCGTTTGTTAAGTTGGATTCGGTGTAAACCTAAAATATTAAATGTTTTGTTTTTATGATAAATGATACCTTTCGTATACACTACGCGGTAGTGTACTGCAGATAGTGATTTTGCATGCACTGGAGCAAGTATAAGCCAATTTGGTTATACTACATTCTCAGAAACAATGCATTGTTGTTGAACCAAACATTAAATGTACCCCCTGGTAGTTAAAAATAACTAAATTAATAATTTCAAGGTATCAAGTTACATATATATATATATATATATATATATATATATATATATATATATATGTGTGTGTGTGTGTGTCAACTCACCCGTAGATGTCCCATGGTATTTGGTACATCAGTGTACATGTGAAACCAGAATCTAATCGTACATACGTCTTTACTGGCTGGAAAGAATGGAGTGGCTATTCGGGCCGCTGAACCTTCAACTTTATCTGAACTATCAACATAGAGAAAATAACCTACGAAAAAAAAAACATCGTTTATTTAATTGTTATTTGAAATAATGATAATATTCAGATTTCAACAATTCGTTAAATGATCTTTATTTAAATATTGACATATGTGAAATATTTATCATCAACGTAAAACATTTATAAAAGAAATTGTGTATATACCCAATGCCGACCATGATATACAGTGATTGATTCGTATTCAATATTTAATTTATGAAGAACTTACCTCTGTGAAAAGTATAATATTGAAATTAACAGTCAAGAGAGAAAAATATAACAAATATGTCTGACTATGTATTCAGAGTTGACTTTGTGTACTATTCTGAAGTTAGTCACGCCCTTGCAATTATGCCGCATTTAAATATGACAGTAAAATATAGCGTATCTTTGTTAACTTACTATTTCCGGTATG